GGGGGTGAAAAGAGTGAAAATACAGAGCTCGCCAAGTGAAATATAATTGCCAGGAGCTAGACACTAGCAAATGGTTTGCTCAGAACTTAGGTAAACTATTTCCCATTCCACACACTCAAATAAAATGACAATGAATGCACTAGAAGAATACTATATCCATCACTTGTTTCTAATTTAACATCGTGCAACGGTATTTCTACTACCTGCTTTATTACCATCACTATGACTACAAGTCTGAAGAAAAATTCATTAAAAAAATGAACAAACAACTGCTTTCTGTACAAAGACATTGCTTAGAATTATTAATAACCCACTGTAACATTCACAATAATTACACAGGCCTGTTTAGTTTATCTGCGGCCCTCTAACAGGGCTATATTTTCCCGTACAACAAGCAGGGAATACTTGTACAAAAAATAACACAAGATCAGTAAGACAAAACAGAATTAGAACAAACATAAAAAGAAAACTCTTTCAGCAGACAATTTTTAAACAGTGTCTCACAAGATTACTTGTTACTTACTAATTGAAACTGGGGAATCTGTGGAAGCTGGCTCAGCATGGCAATCTGTTGTGGAGAAAGCTGGGGGCCCATATTGAAAAGACCAGGATTCAAGCCACTGTTGGGAAACTGTTTGAGCATGGAGGCCGAAACCTGCATGGAAACCAGTTACATATCCTCAAGAAATGCACTGCTATGAGAAAAGATGACGAAGTACTTCTACAAAGGAATAGGTACGACACCAATCTTAAACAGTGTACCAGGAAAGACATTACAGATTTATTAACATGTCACACTTAAAACATGCACAATCTATGACTTGAGCAGAGCGAATACCTCACTTGATTGACAATATACAGTATTACATGTGCAGATGCAGACACACAGACAAAGGTTCCTCCCCCAACCAATGGGTTGCTAGAGACTGCACTAAATTAAAATGCTGATATATATGCAGCTAACCAGTAATCACAGTACTGCATTACCACATTAAAAATGTACTGCTTGACAAGGGAAAAGAAAGGCATTCAGGCAGTCACTGGAGCAAAGAAACAGTGCCTCACAGAAAGAGTTAATCTCTTCATATGCTGAATAAGCTATAGTAAAAAGACAGGAGTAGGTGGAGAAGAATCCCCCCATTTCTCCCTGCATTATTTGAGAGCAAACATGTAGAAGACAAGAGAATCTCCAAAAGTGTTCACCAAGCCCAAAGCAAAAGGTAAACTTGTACATTTGGAGACCCTGAGGTCTTAAAGCTCTGTAATATAAATGCAATGTGTAGCCCTTCATCAGGCCTCTCTTTCGGCGGGGCGGGAAGCACAGGACAAGACAGCTTGAAAAAAAATTAAGCAACCTGTCACACTTCAGAAAAACTTTCAGCTTTCACTTTTTTTGTTGTTTTTAAAATACTTTGCAAAAGCCTATGTAAGACACAGGATTCCTGAATCTACTTTGAGGTTTAAAAATACTGGTAGTGAGCATTTACCATCAACTGCCTTGTTTGTTGGAATAGGAGAGAAGGCTAATCCTTCTGCACTGAGTTTTAAGCACTTTCAACTCTGAATTTAAATTTTTTATCTTACCTAAGTTTTTGATTTCTTAACATCAAGTCAAGACTAAGATAGATGTGTAAGTAACCTCAATGATGTGCTCTGAAGGCTGTAGCTCTACGTTTCACAAGTAACCAGTTACTATAAATTCCTTACCTGGGGAGAAAGAAATTGGGGAGGCACTTGCGCCCGGATATTGGGGGAAGGATTTAGTGGCTGCACTGGTGTGTGCATGCCCCTCGATTGTGCTGTGCTGTTTCCAAACAAACCATGATTGCCACCCTATAAAATTAAAGCAGTAGTGAGAAGACGAATCTTTCAGGATAATGGATTTCTATGCTATTAACTATATGTCAATAACAATGAGGCAAGTACTGACTTAAACAGAGTACCCTTATAATTACTGAGATGTTTGCCCTCGATCACTAATATTCTACCTGGGTTAAAAGTGCTGCACTACAATGCTGAGATGCAGGCTCTTTCTCCTCAATGTTGAAAAGTCATGTTGATCCACTTATTTCAAAGCACATAAAAAAGCTAATGTTTTATATTTTGCACTTTACACATTGGAAAGTGGAAACCTGGGATACAAACAACACGCTCAAAAAACCAATCCACTTGCTTAAAAGTACGGCCAGACTATGTCAACAAAAATTTTGGGCCATCATTTTAGAAAAGTTAGGTGCTCTTACTGAGTAGGGTGTTTAGATACCACTCATAAGCCTGTTACTTCCTCTGCAGACCTTTCACTAACTGAATTTAGAATTCAAAAATTTTACTAAAAATTTTCCTTCTGATGTGAAAATTTCAGCATTCTGGATTGGGATGTTTTTCTCTTCCTTTTTTCCCCACTAAATTGAAGAGCAGGAAAATTTTCAAGTAAGAAAAAAATTTTTTTTTTTTTTCTCTCTCAGTGATTTCTTTTTTAATGCAAGAATACTTGCCGTTTGAGGTTTTTTTTAACGAGATGTATTCAATGTTTTTTAAGCAACTTCTGTAATAATAAAGCCTACTGCATGAAAAAGACCAAAGGAAATCCAGGATTATGTTTCACTATTTCAGCCTCTGAACAGACTGTCTTTATTTGTAACATCTTTCAACAAAAGCCACAGGAAATGTTATGGACAGTCTCCTATACTAACAAATGCATTCTGTAGCTTCTAAAAGCCGAAGCTCATACTCCAAAAGGTCCTTATGTGCCATGCTTCTGCCCTTTCATTTTCAAGACCCTCAGAACTTCCCACCTTCTGCTGTATAGCAGGATGTCTATGTTCTTCAGATAACTGGGGCTCTAACATTTTCCATCCCTCAGCCATCATTCTCTGTTCTTCCTCTCGATGCCAGCACTGCTGTACCCAACATAAGGTCATCGTTCTTCCAAACTGAGACGTACAGACCTTCTCCAAAACCTTTCTGTCCCTTATATACCAAGATTTCATAAAACATTGCCTCCCTTCCTACCATAATACTGTGCATCCTCCACTATCCTTTTGCTAAAACAAAAGTCTCATCCTGCTTCTACACTGGCAGCATTATGGATTGCCTCATTCATCCACATCACGTTTCACCTCCTTAATGTATCTTCTCTTTCTGAAGCAACTCAAGATGTCATATTAAGCATGTGGGAGGATAAACAAAAAAACCTCAAGAGACAAAAGAGTTTTTATTCTGGAAAGAACTGATGGGGATCAACTACACATTAAAATTTTTTTGAGAGGCTCGAAGCTGCAGCCACACTTTCAGCTCTCCGTAAAGCTCAACAGAGTTCTGCACACCGAATCAAAGAACATGCCTGCAAATTTTGGACTTAATCTGATTTTCAACACTGATTGTGTCACATAGAAACAGAAAGACAACACAAAGAAACACCATCATGTTAGGCATGTGACTATATAAGCTAGTCCAGTTGCAATACTTGGATTCTATTCTTTCATTTCCTAGTATTTCTGCAACATTTTATTCTACCATAATGCAAACCAGAATAGCCAGAAATTCTTCCAAACTACAGTTACCCACTTCATTTCTTCCCCACCATTCCCCTGTATATAGAACACAAATATTGCTTTTTCAAGAGTTTTTAAAGACTACTAAATCAATCCTTTATTTGGGCTGTGGGGATGGGAGAAGGGAACAGGCACAATGCAAAATGATTGCAATTGTTTTAAGGCACATTTCTACATACAAGGTAATTGGACGGAGTCTGGAAAAATCTGGTGTCAGGGGCAGGGGGAAAATCAACAGCCTCTAACTGGGTTTTAAAAAAGCACTTAAAATCTAAAGGTTGCCACTAACTTCATGACTTCTGAAAAGCACATCTACCTGCTGCTGCTCTGTGACCCAGGAAGTAAGAGGCCAACAAAAACAGATGGAATACATTTTGATGACAAACCAAAATGGATTGATTCTCAATGGCCTGATATATCTGAAATTTCCATTAACAATATGAATTTATTTAGTAGGAAAACAAATGCAAGCAACCAACTAACCAGGATTAAGCCCAGGTTGCAGCCTTATAACAATGCATCTTATAAGGTGGCCTGCTTACTTGTCTAGCAGCGAAGTTTTGGGGACTGAGCCCTGAGCCGATTGCCCCAAGGCCGACGTTGGATAGTGTGGAACCAGAGGGAGACAGCTTGTAGCTGGGAGAAGGGGAGAAGGGAGAGCAGGGAGCCTCATCCCCAAGGCACCCATCTTGATTGGAGAAAGGCAAAGTCAGCTGAAGCAGCAGTTAGCCAACAGCAGGAGTTGGTTAGTGAAGCAACAGAATGCAAGAGGAGAGAAAGAGGGACGGTGAGTGACTAGGAAGAAGCAAAGTTAATTTGTAATAGCAATTACAAGGACAAATACTTCTGACTCAAATGATATCTTGACAATTAAGATTTTGGTCCAAGGAGATAATCAATAAATTCCTAAAGGCTTCTTTTTAAAAATACATTTTGAACTCTCGTGAAGTTGGTTTCTGACAGTGGCTATTACCACTACAGAAACGAACAAATCTTGAACGAATTCCTCATGTTAGCACACACCTAAGAACATAATTAGGAATGCATTAGCTCTGCTAGTGGTATTTATTAATTACGCCACCAGAGGGAGTTGACAAAACTGTATTTTGGCCTGTTATACCAAAATGGAGGAGTTAAAAATATTCATTGACAGTAAGACGCCTTCAGAATTTTTAAACCAAATTTCTTTTCCATTTTATATGTGATAAACTTAAACTGTATTAAGGAAAACCCTAAAGCATTCTGAATCTATTGGAAACTCTCCAATTCATAATGTGAAGCAATTAATGTTTGATAATAACAGTGAAAGCTTCTAGTTAAAATAGGCAAGAATATGAAAGAAACGCTACCATAACATACAACAGATGTCACAGAGAAACAGATGTCATACAGAAGCTTACAGTACATGGACACACAGCATAAGGGGTTGCGGAATTTAGAACGGGTGTTTCCAATAAACAACAGACATGAAAGCAGAAAAAATTTGGAAGACTGTGATTACTTATGTTTACTTAGATCTAAACCAATTTTTTACACTAGATGATTGTAGTCAGTAGCCAAAAGAATCACTGTGATGAAACCTATAATGAATTTCATTGCTACCAGTAGTTTACCCTTCCAAGAAAAACAAAGGAATTTCTTTCTGTCATATTAAGAGCAGTCTGTTCTAAAATAAAAAGCCTCATTCTCCCCAGATAATTTAGTTTGTCTATGCACATCTGACACCTCTGTTTTATATACACATTCATTTTACAAACATAACTCCCCCACATTTTTTATTTTTGAGTTTGTCCAAGGTTACTGAATTTTTACCAGGTCCAGAGGAGTATGGTATCAACTGGGACCTTGAACACAGACGTTGATATTAATTTATCTGAAGATATTTCTCTCACCTTCTCAAAATAAGGCCCACTATCTGTGGTTCCCATGTCTTTGGAATTAGGTGGACGGAACCCAGATCGATCCTTTCTCATCATGTCATTAAAATCCCCGAGATTCATGGCTCGTTTATCAACCTCAAACTTCTTATCTGGGAGACCACCTGTAAAAGGAAGAGGAAAGACCACCAAATTAGTACCAATAATCTCTACCACGTTTCATGACGCTTCATTTTTAAGACTGAATAAGCCAATTTAGAGTTTAACGTGAAGTATTTCTCACAATTTAGGTACAGATATAAACATATGCATTTCTACAGCAGCCTAGTTCAACTAGTCATACTCATTTATACGTAATTCTCAATGTCTTCCAAAACTCGCACTATTATTTATTGGTATGCAGTATCTACTGAGACACCACTATTTAAGCACTCCATATATTCTACTTAGCCTTTACTGGGTTTGGCATTGAGAAAGAATTTCTCAAACTGCAAAACCACGCACATAATTCGATCACAACTCTCCTAAAGCCATGTGAACTTAACTCTTGAACAGCACAGATCATCTGGTATAGTTTAACTTCCAGACAGGCAACCAGTCTCCCTCAGCCTGTATGCAATGATTACACAACCAGTAACAGAGATGCTTTTCAAACATCCCCTACAGTCTCCTGCCATCGTTTAGTGAGTAATTTGGTAGAACACAAGGAAGACATGTTAATAACAGATGATCAAACTAACATATGCAATGAACAAGACACCATCTTTCTCTATAAGCTTAGCATCAGCCAAGTGCTGACTGAAGGACGTTTTCTACCTTACACACTGAACTGCGGCCAAGGAACAATTTTTTGGGTCATACTTGGCACCTGTAAGGTATCAGATGCGTATTGCTATGTTTAACTAGATGGAAAACATCTTTGTTTTAAAACACAGACAACATGATAGAAACAAGCTTTACTGGTATTTTTAAATAATTTCTTTTAGTAGCACAGAGGGCCTTTCCCAGAACAATTTAAAAAACCTGTCACCACAGCTAACCAAAATTTAAGTCTCTTCCAAAGGAAGTTGGTGATAGATGTCCTACCCTACCACTGACAAAACACTAAGTCTTTATCAAACAGAGCAGACAGCTAATCACTCTGATACCTTCAAAACTCTTATCTGTTCCTCAAAAAAGCTTTTCAAAGCCAGCATCTCTTCTTAATGTCCAAACACAACCTATTAATATTCATAGGTATGTTATTGCCAAGAACCTATGAAATCAACCACTAATTACAATGTTTCTTCTTGCTGGCACAGCTGTCAAAGTTGATCAACTTCATCCTCTCAGGTGCCTTCAACATCATGTATCACAAAAACACTTTACAAATCACCTAAATATTCTGGCCTGTAGCTGGAGTCAAACTGATTTGGATGAGCTCATCCCTTTCCAACATATCCTAAAAAGCTAGAAGTGGCTCTGCAAAAGCAGTCACAAAATGTCACAATATATCTCCGTCCCGTCAATACCGACATCTAACCGCTACACACGATACCAGCAACGCACTACCAAAAGGCTTGTGTGCTTTAATTAGAGACAGGAAGCCCTGTCCGTTAGTTGCTTGAAAAGAAACTGAAAGCAAGACAGAGTTGCATCACTATCTGAAATGAAATTGGGCCATTGCCAACACAAGATGACTAAGCCCCAGAAACACCCTTTTGTCTCTTCAATTATCCTGATGATCCAATCAACTCCTCAAACATTACTGAATGATGCCTTGTAAAACAGCTTGTTAAATAACATGTAGAGCATTAAACAGCACCTTTAAAGGCTTAAAGCATAGATATGCATGCCACTTAGTGCTGAGGCAGCTGCTTAAACTTCAATATAAACAAGGCCTTGCTAAGAGAGATGATAGCATTCATTTATCCCATTCATAGAAAATTCTAATGCAACCTTGAAACCTGTTGTGCGAGTCTGTCTTTTGCACTTGCCAATAAAAGCTGTAAATAATGCAGGTGGCTACAGACTAGCTTTACCTTACACAGTACAAGATGACCGTTAAAGTCTGAAGTTTGAATTTTACCCTCTGCAGTAGGCAAGAACACTTGTGCATGAATAAATATGAAGCCCCAAATCCTCTACATGCAGAAATGCAGAACAGGTTAACAGTCCAACCATCTTCATAGAAGACGACACCCCATCAGTTCTTGTATTTTTCCACTATTAACAGCTGCGAGAAACACCGTGAAAAATGCAAAATGAAACAAGAGCTTGGAAGATGACATTCATGCTCTAGTGAGGAAAAAAACCCTGTGAAGTAGATCTTCCCCACCACATGCACACAGCTTAAAGGAAAATAAAAATTTAAGAAATTAATTCTATAGAAACAAAATTACATAATGTGATCGTGTACTGGGAGACAGGAGACAGAAACTGCTGTTGAGCAAAGTTACCTAAAATGTTGGCAAACAAGACACTCAATGAGATGAAGATACATACATCCAGTCAGGTAACCCAAATGGAAAAAAAAAAACCAAAGCCAAAACCACCATCAAAATCCCACATTTGAAGCATGTTTTCTGCCTGGCCACAAAACCAAAAACATTTAAAAGATACTGTTTTTATACCTTCACCATGAATTTACATCTGCCAAGCCTACTGAGCAAGCACATGTGCTCATGTATCGATGTGTTGCACCTGAATGCTACATCAGGTTAGAGCTTTGTAATGTATTTACAATAGACAGCTGCATGAATTGCATTTGAATCACTAGAAATTGGAAATTAAGCAAAAGAGCTTATAGTTTTCCACAAGCAACTGCCATAAGCAACAAGAGCAAAACTGCTAAGCAGAGAAGTAACAGAAAAGCCTGAGGAAGATCTGTTACATTTTTAGTCTTTGAAATGGAATACAAACTACAATAAATGCCTCTACCTAGGATCAAGGATGCCACCAGTAATGGGCATACTTAAAGAAGTGCAACATAGCAAGACTAAGTATGCAACCTTTCTGCACCATTTCACAGGATATTCTGAGCATCAGCCATCTTTCCTCAGAAGGTCTGATGGCTTTAAGGTCCTTGACAGCACAAAGTTCTAAAGGATCAAAAAGCTTAATTTGGAGATAAAAAACTAACAGAGCTATAAATCATCATAATCCAGGCTACCATCCTCTTCATTTGTATATTCTTAGAGCTATTCTTTAACAGCAGCATCTGAAGCCAGATAAGAACTGAACATCCAAAAAGATGACTTATCTCAGTCTAGAAGATCTTTAGAGAAGCATGAAACCATCAGAGCCTGAATTCTATAGAGGTTCTATAAGGCCAAAGTGGAGAGATCCAAAAATTCTGTTACCTTCCCCAAACTGTGTTGTACTATATAAATGCATGCTTTAACATCTCTTACTGGAATCCTTACCTATTCAGAGGAAGAAAGCAATTTTGGGAAAAATTAACTACTTAATCCCTTATGAAGTGTGACACACATTTTAAGAATGCAATGGATTCTAAGTTGAGACACACTGTGGCTACTTGGACTGCATTAGAATACCAAATCTGGAGTTGATATTAGATGCAACTCTACCTTTGGTACCAAAGACTAACGGATAGTCCCAAAAAAACCCATTTTTGGTTGGGAAAATCCAGACTACAGCATCACACATGATGCTACAATAGTGGCAGATGAGGAAGTACTAAAGGTGGTGACAGCACTGGTACAAAGAGGATCAACGTCAGAACAGACTTCTTGCGTGGTATAATATTGGAATAATTCAGTCAACAATACTAGAAAGGCACAGAAAAAGTATGGGAGAATCAGAATGGCACAGAAACTGCCATTACAGCACAATCTCCAGTTTAACAAGAACTGCCTCCTGTAATCCCTAAAATCTGCTATTCAAATCAAGAATGAACATTTACACTGTTTGCATTTGTAGCATTTGAACTTGTGCTGTCTAGTTTTCCACTGCTACCAGAAGCTCCCACAGTATAGGTTTAATTTCAATTATATGGCCATTGTATCACTAGGACAGAAGACACTTTAGAGGAAAGCTGTATCTACTACGGGATTACTTTCTGGGGTGGAGGGGCTAGTCAACTGTCTTGACATCTGCAGAAACATAAACCCGAAGGTGGTATTTATTGAAGAGTTGAACAAAGAGCTCTTGCTACTATGTCCTTTCCTACTGTCACTATTTGATGTTTAGATTAAAAAAAAAAAATAAATCAGGCAATGAAACAAACCAAAAGTTGCCACAAAGACAGGATCCAATGCACCAAACTGTAGCTGTACATTATGCTGGAAAGTAAGATTACTTAATGCTTAGCACACAGTCAGTCATAGACCTGAATACTGTAACTTCTTTGGCAGGTAATACCTCAGAAGTAAATCGATTCCATACTTAATGTTGGATACAGCCGACTTGTATGACAGACCCCATGCTACTGTAACTTACAGCAATGATTTTTTGGAACATATTTTGAAACTAGATGTACTTGACTTGTAAACACCAATTTTAGTTGATCCAGAGATCCTACAGACTGTGACCTGACACAGAACTACTTTTGCAGGTGGTTCTTCAAACATACCACACCACAGGATCATCAGTAATTAATTCAATTGACAGGGAATACAGAAGTCTCCCACAGGAAACTTGGAACCACCAGCAGAATGAGCACTGATTCCAAACCAGTCAACTCCTCCAGCCGGCCCTCCCCTTCTTACCAAGTCTCTTCTGTCCTTTAAGCAGCACTTTGTGCCTGTGTGCATCCATGTTTCAGCTGGGGTAGAAACTTTTGTTATTATGCAAAAGTAGCTGGAAATAAGCAGCTTGGTACTGAAACATTTTTAAACACGAAACATGTAAAACAGTTACTACATAACAGCCATACTGTGGGTCTCAGTGCTAATTACATGGGATTCAGAACCAGTGGTGTCCACACCTTTCTAACAAACTTGATTTGCACTGACACAGGGACCCCTTCCAGACACAAAATCACTACACACACACACACACACTTCCTCGAAGCCCACAGGGCACACCTCACTTACAGAGAAAATTCACTGTTCGAGATGAGAGTTTAGAATACTACTACTTTGACTATCAACCCTTTGAAACAAGAAATCCAAACCTCTGTCTTTTGACACGGTAACTGGGAGGAATCGGAGTCCTGTGACATTCCTGACAGTTAGAGAAATAGGATGAACATCTCTCTGCAAATTTGTTGGGTTCATACAGTGGCAATGTCCTTTAAGTGGACTAGAAGATCTGTCTTTGTAGCCAGGGATACGAGGTGATAACCCTGCTTCTGTAGATTCTGAAGAATCAATAACTGAACAGAAGTAGTCCCTAGAACAGGAATGAACCTCTCTTCCCCTTTTTAAGTATCAAAGACTATTCTGTACAAGTTTTTAGCCTTACTAAGCCTTTAAAGACTTGATAACAAATAAACAATCACAACAGCAAATTTGGATCATATCTTTTTTGATAGATACTTTAGTAATACTGTATGGAAAACAGCTTAAATGGCAGAAGATTTCAGAAATGCGTGCTATTTCTCTTGCAAGACAATGATAGTGAATATTCAGAGACAATCTGGAGAACGGAATGCAAAACTAAATCTGATTTCAAGATAAGAAAAAAATTTCTGTGAGAGTTCACTACTTAGTTTGCCAAAGAAGAAAGTCATGACAAATTCCACGGTTATTAAATGGGATTAATCCAAGTGGTCAATTCAATTTCTCATTTAGGATAGTATTTTCCACATGGCCTGTCTCCCTTAAGCTGTGCAGTATTTATGGTGAGGCTATCAGGAGTGAAAAACCTAGTACTACTGAGCAGTATCCTCTAATAGCCTGAGGCAAGCAACTGAAGAAATCAATGACAGAAGATATGAAAGAAGTCTTTTCCCTCACATCATCTCGATGGAGCTATGGCAATTGGGATGTCCTACTGCCAAGAGCTAAACCAGCCCTCCTGAAAAGGGACTCCTCACTTTCTTGAAACAGTACAAATAAATACAAATTACATGGATCAAAACAGTCTTACAGGATGTCCCTTCCACAGGTTATAGCTCCATTCTGTACAGGTGTACATCCCAATCTTGCATACCAACATCAACTGTGTAACTATTCAAATCCTACAGCCAAGATATCGGATGCTGTAACTCCTTCTGTTATGAGGAGTGTTAAAAGTAAGGATCAAACCTTTCCAAAGCACAGCAAGTCATCCGCGTAAAAATACTACACATGATCTCATATTTCAAATGTATTCGAATTAAATTATACGCACCTACAGACAAGTCCATCTTACTGCCTGGAATGTCCTCAGTTTGACTCTGGGGGGAAAAAAAAAAAAAATTAAAAAAATCAGTTCTGACTTCTATGAAATGCCAAGGAACATTTTAGAAAGCAGCCATTGATGGTTAAAGGTGGAGTAAAGGAAGGACATGCTTGTGCCAATAAAAGTTTTATTTTAAACTAAACTAAAATAAAAGGATTCCTGATATCACCCTGGACACACTTTACCTCAACCCCCTAATGCTGTGTGTGGCAAGTTTACAGATATGAAACCAGACACATGAACACATGTGACAGACAGAGAGATGGACAGACAGCTGCTCTGTGAAATGAACCTCTGTCCTCATATTCCAGTGGTCGAGAGATGAAACACTGAAAATAGTGGCCAAAATGATAGCTCATCCTCATGACCCGTCAAGTCATCAAATCTTGAAATGTGCTGCCAAGTTATTAGTTGGCAGTCTGGGACAGGGTGTTCCCATAGCTTTCAGAAGTGTCTATGGTCTAGCAGACTGAATTTGGGCTGGGGAGCCAACAAACATTACGAACTAATCCTACTCATGTCAGTGACAGTTTTTGCAGCCCTTGGCTTCTCACAGAAACTCTGCATTATTCTCTTTTGCTAGCCTGCATTACCTACTATTCCTGCTTCACAGGATGACAGTTGGCACAACATTCTGTAAAATGTTTTACAAATTAGCATGTCAGAAGTTCTTGAAGAAAATTTGTATGTAACTATTTTTAAGGTACTTCCCTGCAGATCTGCCTTTTCTCTCCATGATGTGCTGTTTATTTATTCACTTTACCAATCAATCTTTAAATACTGATTAATAATAATCCCTTTTTGTTCTAAGAAGGCCCTCCTGCACAGTATTTAAAATACAAATAACCAAGACAGACATAGGGCCATAAATCTCCTTTTCTGATTGGTGGCTGAGATTCAGAATGAAGAGCCTTGGACTAATCACAGATGTCTGACACTACATCCAGGAGCCGAGTCCTCTACCGTGAGTGTTCTGAACAGCATGTTATGAAAAATAAAACACACAAACAAAAACCCCAAATCCCATTACTTGCAAGGAAATGGCAATCTCAGAACAACAGCTGTCATAAAGTAAGTCTGAAGAGTCAAAGGAGATCTTGGGTTTTTCCAAGAAGCCATTCTGACTAGCAAGGAAGTGCCAAATACCCACCTATTACAGGTATTATAATCAACATGCCAGCATACAAATGCAGATAAATAAGTAGTTACACACTGTGAAACAGCTGATCTTTTGACTTATTTAAAGCTTACTGCTTTTTTACGAAGATGGATTTTATATTTTAAAAAAATTACTTACTAGCAAGCCCATATTTGAAAACTGTTTGGATAAAGGGTTCATCCACGAATCACTATTTCCTCCTTTTAATGAGCACTGTAGAGAAAATAAAAAAAAAGACAAAAAATATTTTAAGCAATTTCTTGATTTGTTAAATTCTTTTTTAACCTTGAGATGCATAGTTGTTGAATGAAAATCCTGGTATCAGAGAAATTAATCACCTGAACAAACTACTTTAAGCTTTTGCATGGTTGCAAACATTTACCAAATACTTTTTTCTTTTCTCTCTCACAAAATTGTTCGTTACTAGGTATACCAAACTGGATGAACACTTGCTGTATAGAATGTTTATCACACCTTCAGTTCCATTCTGGAATCTGGAAAGCTTTGTGAATGTTGCCTCCCTGCCTCCCACCGTTACATTTACTACATTCTTTAATCCACCAAATACAGAGGTAGATTTCTTCCTTGGCTTTCTTCCCTTTAGCATGGTTTCTCTCACATGGGCACTGTGCTGACCTGGCTCTCAATTTGGCCTTACTGTAATTTATAGGTGATCAAAACCAAAACTGAATGCAGTTCAACAGAAAAGACACTGATAAGAAACATTTTTTGGACAGTTGCTTTGGTGGTTAAAATAAAACTTTAAGAAAGAAAAAAGTTCATGAGAATAATTTTTGCAAAATAGGAATTGTAGAACTCTATACCATGTCCATGTCCTAGGAAGCTGCTCTGCACTTGCATTTTGAGTCTGCCCTACCTATTTGATCAGAAGTAGAAAAGCATAGTCCTTCTAATATTAATGTAGTACCAAGTGCTACTGTACTAGAGAACTTTAACACAAACAAGCCTTAGAAAGCAATTCACTCAGGACTATAGACAAGGTCCTGCTCCTGTTTGACGCCAAAGGTCAATAACAATCAACACAAGCAAGACCTAAATCCAACCATCAGTAGAAATAAGTAGTGCACGTGCCAAAGGGACTGTGCAATCTGAACTTCAGCAGGCGATGCAAGGAGAACAGCAGCAGCCTAACACAGAAAGATGTGTCAACAAGAGAAGAGCAATAGCCTTGGGATACTCATTGCTCAGTTACGTTTAGTAATGGCTCTGCAGCCTACATACCAAAAGAATTTGACACCTGCTGGTAGATTTATTAGTCACAACAGGTGTGATACACTAAAACAAATCCAGAAACCTCTCATTTTTTACACTGTTGTAACAGGCACCTTTCTTGCTGAATTGTGTAGTACCTTTTCAAAAGAAGTTCTACTATAATGTTCCAACATATCAGTCATACTGCTTCCAGACAACACAGTAGTTATGAATCATTCATGCATTTTACCTTCATTTGTGTTTTCTTTCCTCCTTGCCCCCAGCTTGTTGAGTTGTGGGAGGAACTGCTTCCCTGAGAGCCCGCTGTGTTCCAGACTCCTCCCTCCTCCTCCTCTTCCCAGCTGGAATGACGCGTTCCTGTCACTGGCCCATCACTCTCTCCCCAGCCATCTTGCATAGATTTAGAACCTTTAGAAAAAGAAAAAAAAGCTCAAAAGCAGTCTACCATACCATGCAGCTGGTGACTTGACACTGCAAGATTAGCTGAGCTCATCAGAACCCCAAAGGAGTTAAAAGTGTCTTCACTCTAACAGCTGTAAAACTTATGCATGAATTCCAAAACCCATGAGATTTGGTGGCACGTTAGCATGTCATGTTTTGCAACTATTTTAAAGCAATGTCAAACCCTTAAGGATATAATAACTACAGGGACCTCTACTCTCATACAGATACAGCTGCGTCTGGATTTCTTTAAAAGGCAACCTATTATTTTCTATCATAAATGAAAGACTTCAAGGGCATTTAAAAACCAAGTGTGCTGAGGAATCTGGATTAGGTGGTTTATCAATTATTTCCCCTTTCTTCAAAACCGTAACATTTTCCTTGCACTAAATTCTTTGACAAAATTAGAGAAACAAATAACTTTAAGGAATAGCAACCAAGTAGAATCTGAAGGGGAGGACCTGACATTGTACTCTGGTATATGTAACTCCAAAAGTAGTTTAATGTGAAAAAACCCCGCCTTTACTCGAATTTCTGTTCTTAACAATGTCACTAGAAGTTATTAGCAGTGCTGTTTAAGTAGAGATGCCATTATCAGAAAGCTACAACTATCTCATCATACCAATTCAGACTAAGGACTTTTCCCTGTTTGCTTCTGTTCTTGCTGTTACTCTTTAGCACCAGCTGTCACGCAACTTAGAATTCTAACCTCTACTGACAAGCCAGCAAGAGCCCAAATCCTCATTTTATCCACTGTCCAACTGCTGCCCTTCCTGCTGTAGAACTCTTCATTCTGATTATTTATTCCCTAAGCATTTATCGCCTTTAAAAAAGATTTCCAACATCATCACCTTTTTCATAACTAATTCTTTAATTGTCTGGGGTTTGAGTGTGGAAATCAGGGATACGGATATTAACATACATAGCAGAAAATCTCAATATAAAAGTCAGGAACTGTAATTTGTCTATCAAGGGGAACTCTACTTTGATCAAGCCAAAAAGTAGTACAGCAACATTTCATGGCAGTTTAAGAGCTACCTTAAAATCCATCATAAATAACAACTCATATGCTTCACAGGAAGCATAACTTTTTAAAGTGTATTTGTGTACCAAAATTGAGGGCTGTTTAGGAAATATACTGGTCCAAGTGCAAAAATCTACCTCTTGACCCTTTAATCATGCTACTTACACAGAAAAGGCTACATTTAAGGATTACGACTGCAGAGTCAAGAACTTAATCTGGAAATGTCATATATGGGATAGTCCCTGCAGCTTTAATTTATTTCCGGCCACAGTGTTTAAATATAGCACTATGATCCTGGTTTTAACTACATAACCACAGATTATTTTTCTGCATTGACAGCTCTCAGGTCTGAGACTCCTGAAAATGAATCTGGACAGTGGTATAAAGACAACTTGTCTGTAGGACTGCTGCTTCGTTTTCTGCATTTGTTGAAGAAGGAGGCACAAAGAGCTACAGTAAACACAGGAAACTTTCAAGATAAAGACAAAATAATGATGTTACAGAAAACTGAATTTATTCCTCCTTCTGCCAGAGAATTCCTATGCAATGCTAGTAAAACTATGTAAATCCATTCTTTTTAAACAGGTGGGCAATGATCTATGGTTCACTTCTTTGGCTCTAAAGTCTTTGTTTTCCAATCATTGGTAGTCTCTGTTTCCTGTCCTTACCTTCAACTATAAGATATGCCTTTGCAGGCTCTTTGTCCCAGTTTCTTCTTCCAACTTATTCAAGACATTACATATCTCCCCTTACATCACTGAATAACGTGGCTTTTTTCTGCATTCCTTCTGGGTGCCAATTAGAAAGGAGTTGAAAGAGCAGTCACGGAACACAGGAGAATGAAGATCTCTGCTCTTAATACTGGTGATCCATCTACTACACCCCAACCTGAAACAGCCGCCATGGGGAAACTCCCTACATTTTGCTCCTCTAGAGCTGGCGACAGCTTACATACAAAATAGTACACATATGCTGCAGCTATTCGGTTGCGTCATGCACGCAGACCAGTTAGGACAAGCACGTGACCATGCATAGTCTTTAAAGACTATCTTAAGTATTAACAAATCCATAGAATTTGCAGTGGATTATTAGTGTTTCAGAGGCTCTGATTTTGGTCACATTTAGGTGGCTTTTTACAGATGAAAGAAGAGATCCATCAAAAAAAAAAAAAAAAAAAAAGTCTAGCATCCTGAAAAGTGCCAAATTTGTGTGGCAGGCACAGGAAGCATGACAGCCATCCAAGAAAGGCTGCTATAACGTTAACACTAAGGAAGCAATGCTTTTTTCCAAGTTTTGTTTCATAAATGGCCAAACTATCTAATTGGGGTGGGAGGAAGGGAGGATGACCCAGCAGCACACCATCTGTATAGAGCATTTCATTCTAAACAATTATATGTTGCAAAAGCAACTTATAACTGGGAGCAGTTTTACAGCAGGTATCATCAGCCAAGTTCAGTAACAGTCATGTATAAATATTTCCTACTGGAAACTTCATATCCAAATGTTATTTGCTTTAGCTATAACATTGCTATGTTGTATCAGCAGGCGATTACTTTTGTTTGTTGTATTATCCTTGAAAAGAGTGAAATAAAAATTCTACAAACAGCTTACATCAGCAG